AAATATTAAAGCTTAAAAGTTATATAAATAGCGTGTTAAAAAACGTTAATAAAAAACATTATAAGCTTAAAATAATAAAAATAATTAAAAAACTAATATAATTAACATAGCTTTAGCAAGCGTTATAAATAATAGTTAAGCCGCTTTTTCTTCGTTAAATACTTTTTATACCCATCGCGCCTTTTTTACTAATAAAACTACGGGCGCTGCCCTTTTTATAACCTTTTCGCCTTTTAAATGGCCTTTTAGCGACTATTTTATTTTCAATACTAGCGCTAACTTTTATATTTATTATAATTATAATAAATTTTATTAATTTTAAAAGGCTAGCGATAACGATATAATCTTTGCTAAAAATTAGGCCTATTAAATAATAGGCAAAGGTTAAATATAAATCGATATTAATAATAGTAAAGCAAACTGTATACTATTAACTAACGTTGCCTATATCCTAGATTTTTAAGCTAATTTAGTTTCTTATAGCCTTTTTAAGGCTTAAAAAGTTAATTAATATATATAAAAAAACATCTTTTTTAAAAAAAAGCTTAATATTATAGCTAATATATAGTAATATTACGGTTAATACCTCTTTAATTTTTATACGTAAAAAAACGCCGCCTTCCTCGTCGCTTTTTAAGCCCCCCTCCTACTAAAAAAAGCAAAAGGATTACTTTAATATTGACGCTTTAGTTATATCGGAAAAAAAGCCCTTAAATACGTAGTTTTTACCACTTATAAAATCGATATTATTAGTCTTAAAGTCTTTAAATATAAGGCTTATAACTTAGTTAAAATAAAAAAAATCGTCTTTCGTTAGGCTTTTAACGTAATTATAACCCGCCCTTATTATAAAGTTTATTAAAATTTATTTTTTTTTAAAAAAACATATAACAGGCTTAAATACGCCTTTTATGTTATTAATAAAGCTATAGGCATAATATATGTAAAGTTATTTCACGACCTACTTTCTAATAACGAGGCCCTCTTATTTATTAAATGTATATGCCGTTACGTAAAAGTTTAATATTAGTGCTTAATAATAATTTTTAATATTAATAGTATTAATAACCTTGCTTTAAAGGTAGTTAAGTAATGGGTTAACTTATTTAGCCGCATTTTTAAGGTTTTTACGCCATGTATATAAGCATAAAACGGGCTTTTAAAAAAATATAAAGGCATTATTAACACTAGGGCAAAAGCATTTCGGTTAAGTGTTAAACTCTTAAAAAACTTTTAGCTAAAAGCTATGAAGGTAGCTATTTACTTTTATAACCATATATTAAGCTAAGTATATAATTAGGAAACCTCCTTTGGTAAGTTATAAGGGTAATTACGCATTAATAAACCTGAAGCATTTGCGAAAAAGTTATTTATTTTTTTCGTTATTTATTTAAAAGTATATAGATACCGGGCCTACCCTTTAACCGTAAATGCGTAGGAAAAACGTAATAAACTTTGGAAAATAGCACCTTGCGCCTATATTAAATATCTCGTGGGCTATGAATTTACTAATATTTATAAGATATAAATGCCCGTTAAAAACGAGGTTTTGCGTATAAAAAACGTTATATTTGATAAGGAAACTTTATTTAACCCGTAAGATAAGTTATTTAATAGTTAGTTAATACGGGAATATAACGTATTTAAATATAAAATTACTAATTTTATAAAGCTTTTTATTGAGGATTATATAATGGTGGCCACTAATTATATAAAGGGGGACCTTTAGAACATCCCTTTTATTGTTAAGTTATTAAATAACGATATTTATAAATATAAAAGTGTTAATAATTAGTAATAATTGGCATAACGCCCCTTTGCGTCGTTTAAAAGGGTAGATAAAGGTTAAAAAGGCTTAGAAATAGCTTAAAGAAGCCTAAAAAGCACGGTTTTTGTTATAAATATTAAAAAAGCTTAATAATTTTTTAAAGCTTTAAAAACGTTAATTTTAAAGTTTTTTAATAATACGAGTAATATGCTATCTCTTACCTATTTAACTAATAAAAGGCACGTATTAAAGACCTACTTTATTCTTTTATTTTTGACTGCTTTATTAAAAACCGCCTTAAATACCTTTTTTTAAATATTTATAGGCTCTTTAACCTTTTTTTTAATAAAGCTATTTAACCGAAACCTTAGCTTTAATTTAGATATAAAGTAGCTATGAAAAAATAGGGTAAACTTTAATAATATCTTTAAAAAACGCACCCGTGGCGGTTATTACGTTATATAAGTAATATTTATTATAAAAAAAAAACAACTCTATCGCTGAAACTTAATACCTAAACCCTAAAAGTATAAATATATTTATAATTACCTTTTCGCCTAATAGTAGCTTAAAGTAAAGAAAATAGCTTTTAAAGATCTTTAAAACTAAGGCGTATTTAAATAAGTTAAGCGAAAAATACCCTTAACCGCTAATAAGCGGTTAATCCTTTTAAAATAAGTATATAAATATAAGTTCGATAAACATAAATACCTTTTAAAATTTAAAGCCCGTCTCTATATTTGCGAAAACTTATAATAAAATAACGGTTTTAACATTTACGCCGCCACCTTTGTTATAAAAATATATTAAATATTAATCGCTATAGTTACGTATTTTAATTTTAAGTAATATTAATATAACGCTATAAATACTTTTGTTAATAATATATTAAATTATAAAAAATACGTTAAATACCTTAAAGGTTATAAATATTACGGTTATTATTTATAACTCCTTTGCGCCTTTTATAAATTTCGAATAATACCTAAGTTATGGCAAAAAGACCTTTTTGCCGTTTTATAAAACTTAAAACTTAAAGAATTATCGTAAAAACCATACCTTTTTATAAATAAATATATTATTATTTACTTTTATATAAATAACTTAATAATTTATTTTTATAAAAAATATTAACGCCACGCTAAATTATTTATAAAAAAGCTTATAAAACGCTTTAAAATAATTATAATAAAAAAATTATAATAATTTTTAAAAATTAAAATCTTTTAAAAGCGGGTAATATGCCGTATATAGTTTTTATAGCGGTTATATATAAAAAAATTAATTAAAGATTTTAAAATTAATCCGAAATAAGCGCTAAAAACCCCTTTACCACTTTTAATACCTATTTAACCCGCCTTTAAAATATTAAGTAATGCTGGAATGTGGTTTTTTTAACGCAAAGCGGGCTCTTTATTATATGCTTTTATTATTACCCGACTAAATATTGCTTTCGCTGCTTTTTAATTAGCTTAATATATAACTAACCCGGGTAAAAATCACTTATAGTTAGTAAACTGGGCTATCGCATATTATAATAATACTAAAAACCTCGCTATATACTTTAATAAAAATACGCCACCCCTTTATTTTTAATAGTATGCAAATGCCTCTTTTGTTGATAACCGTATTAATAAAAAGTCTACTTAAAGGTATATAATAAAATTATTTAGCGGCGTAATTATTTAAAGGTCCTCTAAATAACCTATAATAACTATTTTTAATATAAAAGCAAAGTTATTAAGCTTTAGCCACGTTGCTGGCAAAGCGTTATATATAAAGAAGCTATTCCGCGCTTTATAATTTGACTTTAAAAAAGGCTTAGTTATTTATTATAATAATAAGTAAATAATACGCTTAATGTATAAAAAAGCTTTTAAGTTATAAACCTCCTTTTGATATGTCGATATATATAATTACTAATTACGCTAAAAGGCATAGAACGGCTCGATTTGGGTAAAATAAACCTTAATAAAAGATATAGTGGTAAATAGACTAACGAAGTCGCTTAGCAAGGCTAAATTCGTAAAAGCTATCGACATATTTAGTTTAAAGGATATTAAGGAAAGGTTAAAGGATTTAAGTAAGGAGGAAAACACTATAAAAAGCACTACCGAAAACATTAAAAAATCATCGTAATTACCTAAGTAAGTATATCTTATAACCTTATAGCAAGCGCCGCGACGTTAAAAGGGTGTGTTAACTAGGCTAGGTAGCGCCGGCGCGGCGCCGGCGTAAGGCCGGCCTAAAGACTAAACCTATACTAATAACCCTCTTATCCTTAGCCCTATTACCGGTGCTATCCTTTCGTAAACCACTAATTTCCCTTGTAAATTGCCATTTATGCCACCTCTTTTTATCCATCCTTTCGCCCACTTTATTACCGCGGCTCCCGTTACTTCTATTTTCTATCGCTTTTCCTACTGCAGGGTAATTGCCCATATATGTATATATAGGGCGTTGAGCGCCCCATATTCTGCTTTGCAATAGACCACGCGTTTCTATTGACAGGAGATGCGATTGCGCTCGCGCTGGGCGAGCATAACTGGGGGCGCATCGCTTGAGCGCGTTGGCGGAAGACGTCCGGGGTTCAGATGGTATAGGTGCGCTGCGCGCAGCTGAGGCGAGAATGGCGGATGCTTGCATGTATGGGTTGGGTGCATCCTTCACATAAGGTACTTACTTACCTTTTGCTGGTCCACGGCCCTGTACTTAGCTACATACCTAGTCGAGCCAGGGAATGGGAGGTGAGCGAACATCGCGCGAGTTCATCGTTTGTTCGTATGCGAGCGCTCTGTCTGGCGTCGTTCGCTCGGCCGTTGCGCGCAGAGATCCTTATGGCCAGCGATGCCAGCTTGTTGATCGCGGCAGCGGCTTAAGCGTGGGTGGCAGGTCCGGCTATTGCACATGCTAACTAACGTCTGGGGCTCGCTCACCACGTGATTCGCGAGATCTAATCTTAGCTGGATACAGTCATATCTGCAGTCAAAACGGAAAGAACCTATTTAACCCTTCAATGACGTGGCTGTAATAAGATATCCAAAAACTGCATGCCTCGTACTTCCAGTGGCTGGCCAGATTATGCAGTATAAAAAGGCAGCAGGACTACCCAAAGTGTTCGTTCCTCTTACCCAAATGGCAGTGAATTCAGAGCATTGAAATGGATAAAAAGGTGAAGTGAGTAGGTTGATGCCAAGCTGGGATCATATCAAACGGCAAAAATGTATCAATCAGGTCCGACCGTGGATCGAACACGGGACATTTGGATTGTTAGCTGCATAATTGCACTGCAATCCACTACTCTACCACTGAGTTACCGAACCTTTTTGATTGATGGGAATCAATTGGGTTTTGATGGATCTTATATTGTCTGATTTTGCTTGCATACTGCGCCAAAATGGACTTGGCCACTTGCGTCTCGGCATTGGCGCCGAAGTTCGGGTCCATTACAAACAGTACCCACACCCAGAACCAAGACAGCAATGCTTCCTACAAGCCGCAGCAGCCAAGTCTATGACCTGGAAGTCAGATAGCAATACTTCGTGATCTTCCATGCCTAGAGGGAGTGCGCGAGCTATCTTAGGCGAAAGGTGGGTGCAGGGAGGGTATTGGCCTGCTTCAATTGTCCGAGATGGGCCTAAAGTACGACGGAATGCTCTGTATGCTGCAAGTGTACGGTTTATGAATCTCTTCCTTCTTCCTCGACTTCGGATATCGATCCCACGGGCGGCGACGCCGTCACCTCCAACTCGGGAGCTGCCTCAAGCTCAGCTTCCATCCTTGCGTCCTCTACCTCTCTTTGGGCAGGACTGAGCTCTGGATCATAGTTGATGGAAACTTTCAGCCTCAGCACCTCCTGCTCTAGCCAGGTACCTAACTCCACTCGCGCATGGACGCGGTGGTTGCCAGCTATTGCTGCGTCTTGGCAATCCTGCTTTCCTCCTACCGGTTCCTTGCCCATCGCTGGGTACTTTCTCTCGAGCTTGCGAAGGGTTCCGAGTAGGACACGCGACCCCTTGCTCGACGGAATGCTTCCTTCGTCCATATAATCAGGCTTGTCGAAGTCCAATGCAAGGGGAGCCACGCAACACCAGATGTCCTCGTTCATTTGGTTGCTTATGCTTTGAGGTATAACGGAAGCAAGTTCGCGTAGGGAGTACGGAACCCCAGCTTGTTTAGATAGAATGGAAAGAAATTTGGGTAGGGCGTACAGAACCGCAGCTTGTACGTTCCGGCCATCAAAGAGGTAAAGGGGTTCTCCTATCACTCTGTCCCAGAAACGATACCTTTTCGGGTATCTCAAAGATGTCAAGTCTCGCGGTGCTGTCTTCTGCGCGAGGAACCGGTAGTGGAAGCTTTTAGGCTGCTCGATCGGCTCAATGGAAAGGGTATAAGTCGATTCCAACGGGACGCGATGGAGATCGGCCGCATACTGATCGACAATCGTGACCCTCCGTCTTCTGGCTTTCGATGCGTCGAACTCGTATTGAAAAGATTCGGAATCGCGATATTGAACACGCCCGCCGTGTTCTGCTGAAACATACCCAAGTGATGGGCGCTCTCTCGTGAACATGTCGGGTCCTCCATGGTAACCTCTAAGCGTGATCGCAAGGCGAGCCCCACGCGAAGTGCCTGAGTCAATGAGACAATCTAGTATGGCCACCGTCAGGTTCTTGAATCCGTCATCATAATCGGCACGGAACGTAGCTCCACCAGCTTCATCAAGGTCGGCGAAATCGTGGCGCCGAGTCACAGGGCAACATAGCAGACTCAGTGTCATGGTTGATTTCACTAGCTCAATATGCGAGGTTGCCGACCCGCCGCTGTCCATGATATAGCCCGTGTCGAAGTATATTGGGTGCTTGGCGAGGAGGCCATCATAATGATTGTCATTGTCTCTCGTGCACAAGATAGATTGATCGTTCGACGTCTTTAGAATTTCCTCTTGCAGTCTCTTGAAAGCTTTTTGGCCTTCCCCATAGAGCAATGGCATGTTCACGTCGAATATCCCCATGAGGCAGTAAGCAATGTCTTCAGCTCTCGTCGTGCTTCGTATCGCTGCCCAGGTCATGCGTTCAGCAACACTGGCCGCCAAGACCCACCGCCTTGGAAACTTGCTAGTCAAGATGGTGAAAGGTATCGTAGTGATGTTGGAGATGGTATCTGCTAAACTTCCTCGAGATCCCATGTATTCCCAGTTGGTATTGTAGAACCGAACGTTAGGGGGAGCGAGGAGTTCTTGTAGCGTCCAGCCTCGGGTAAACCAGCGAGCAACAGGTATCTCTGAGAGATGGATAACGTCGGAAAGGTAGGCCAGGCAGACTTCGGATTGTTGATACCAGTTGAACATCGAGTTGATGGCCTCGGACAGCTCTGCACTGCTCCTTTTGTCGATACAGCATGTATCGATCCAAATGTAGTCGTAGCCGAGTGTTGAGGCTTGTGCTGCGCTTCTGAGGATCTTCAGCGCGCCTGGTCTATCTTTCCAATTGCGTGTCTGCGCGCCTGATCTTTTCCCCCAACTGCGTATCATATATTTGCGACTCCTTGTTGGCTCCGCGACGTCTTCGTACACGATCTCGTCTTCACCCCAAGTATGAGACAGGGTTGCGTAGGGCGGTATCCTACGACCTGCAAATGTCTCTAGCAAAAGACTTTTGCAGTTGAGGAGCCTCATCGTACCAATACGACGTTCCTTGTGTCCGCGACACGTTGTGAAGGAGTGAGTGGCAGCGCGACGATTAGGCCAACATAGGTGATGGAAATGCGGATCTGTGGCCCTCCATCGGCTCCGAATGAGAGAAGGTGATGAGGGGAAGCTGATGAATGGGAGGCAGCAGCGCAAGAGGGGACATTATAACCGGGCTTACTGATGAAACGCCCCGTTTACATGCGGGATTGCACATATGCAGGATACGCCTGGTCAGGTGTCGTGATTGGTGGCCTCGCGTTGAGTTCGCAATCCTACTGCGAACCCAGCGCCACTACATGTTTGCACCTGCCCAAGATTCAACATACGCGTAGCAACCCAAGAACATGAAAAGCCTCCCTCCGCCGACTTTGGTCACCGTCGGACGGCCACCGTCCGGGCCGCACGGCGTCGTAAGTACATACCTAAGCCATGCCCCTTCGAAGCTCGGCAGTCATCTGAGCACGGTAATCTGTCACAGTGGGGAAGGATTGACACTGGCACTATCAAGAGGCCATACGAGTTAGCGAGTGACTCTGTTATCTATTCAAGTACTCAACAAGAGCGAGCTGTCTACACAGGTATCGAATTCAGGGTGTCTGGGCCGCCTACCCTCCGCTCTGGACCAGCCAGGACGCCACCAGCAGGCGCGGCCGCTTAGTTGGGACGAGGTCGCTTCCCCTTGGACAGCTCGCGGTCCTTGGCCGAGTACGACTCCCGAGACCAGTCGACCTTGTAGTCGGAGCTGGACGTGCCGTTGCGGCTCGAGTGGTGCTTGTCCTCGGACCGCGTCGTCTTGTTCGAGTGCCCGCCCTTGTTGGAGGAGCTTCCGGACTTGGAGTTGTGCTTGTTTCCCTGGTGACCCGTCATTTTTGCGAATTGGTGGTTCTTGATGGTGTTGGTAGAGGGTTGAATGTTTGAAGTGGATTTCGAAGCTTTGGATTCAAGAGGCAAGTGAGTTTGATGGTTGGATGTGATTCTGGCTGTTGGAAGGGTGTTGAGATACGGGCAATATATAACAGCTCATGCGCCAGCATCAATGTGTATTCCGGTCCAACAGCCCCTTTCGCAGACCCTCGTCGTCTTTCTTGCCTGTTGGGTCCATGAAGCATTCTGTGCATTCAGAAACCAGTGTACCCATGCAGTTTGCCTGGGATCAACCCAAACTGCCCCTTTATCTCTCAGTCTCCTCTATGCCCACCACCATGCCAATCATGATTTTGGATGCGCCTTTCTTGCACATAGCCGGCTGCTGGTTGTTGTGGTCATCAAAGCGATCGATGGTTGCGCCTATCAGGGGCACTGACAAAGGTGTCCGAACAAAGAAGACCATGGTCCTCAACGTGCCCAACTGGAGACCGTGCTTGCTATGGCGAGATCCGTAAGCCGGAGAGCAGCACCCGGAAAAGCATAAGCAACAACAATGGCAGGTCAATAAAAAAGGAAAGAGCCGAAGGCAAAAATATACAACACCGGGGATTCGCTGGTCGTCACCGACCCAACTACTGATCCGGCGGTATCTGGTTTATCGATGGGGGAGCGGACGGGACCCCGAGCTCTCCAGATCCTATGGTCGTATATAGAAAGCAGCTTCTTTATTCCGAATCATCAATTAGCCATGGTGGTTGTCGGCCCACGGCCCATGGTCTGCGTCCCCAAAGATCTTCCATCAACCTTCCCTGGAGCATTAACATGTCCCAGGACATATCTAGTCTCGTAAGGTACAAATGACAAGCGAAGCGGACACATGCCTATACATATACACTTTATAAGTCGTGAGTGTGACTAATCATGGTATCACAGTACTATACACTTCCCCCTTATCCCATCATCAAGCTATGGGGTAAGTTTACTTCATCTTCTCTAACAACTCCTGGGCCCTCGCGACCAGACTCTTCGCCTTGCTGCGGTCAGCTTGAGCATCCACCATGGTAGTCTCCTGCTTGATTCTCTTCTGCCTTTCGAGCGCATCCGCGACAACTCCCTCAACACCACGAACAGCCTTGCGGCCCTCCTCGCGGACCTCCCCCTCCCAAAATTCGCGCGCGGTCTCCCAACGGGCTTGCATCTGGCGAAGAGCAAAGACAATTCCCAGAGCTGCGACAGCGCCAGCTTCATACGCGCTGGTTGAGAGGGTACCGACGTAGACGAGGGCGCCGAGCGCAGACGTGAAGCCGGACGTTGACAGCGCCTGGAGGACCAGCTTCTGCGCGAGTGCCTGCAGCGCCGGCACCGTTTCGGCTTGTAGGTAGTCGCGCGTCGCGGGGATGTTAGCGGGCCAGTTGGGCGCGAGCGGAAGATTGTCAGCGGACGTCTTCCCAGGAGAGGCGGTGGTGGTGGGATGCGTGGCGGAGGAGTGCAACGGCACGCCGGCCTCTTCCATGCGCCCAGCCAGGTATATAGCGCTGCGCTCAGCCTTGGGCAGGAATCGCTGCGCCAGTATATCGTTCGTCAGCATACCGACGTCGTCGACGCGCCAGAACAGTTTCCACCAGCCCAGCTTGCGCCACCGTCGGCTGGCGAAAGCGAGGTCGAGCTGCTCTTGCAGCTCGGTGTGTGCGCTCTCGGCCCAACCCTCGAGGTTCTTGTGCAGGGATCCCAGTGACGTGGGGGATACTGCCGCGGACAGCGATA